AAAAAGAAAAAATGTATTTTTAAGAGGCAAATGGTCAAGTTACAATTTTCTTGTTTTTTGCTGTGTATTACTTGCCCGCATGAAAGAAAAGAAAACGGCAAGGCAACAGGAATAAAAACAGAAAAAAAATTAACAATTGTTAATTTGAAAATTGCACACAAATGCGTAATGTGAAAGTTTTTGCGTCCCGTTCGCAATGTTGGACTTGGGCTACGCGCAGCTCGGCTGGGCCACTTGTTAAGTGTTAATGAAATAATTATGCCAACTTTTGTCGGGACTGCGGCGGTGCACATGACTGCCCATTCGCACCACCATCGAATCGCATTTATATATACATATATATATATATATACATACAAAAGCCCTGTGGGGCGTGCAGCATCCTCATGGCCACTTCAGTTTTATTGTGCGCCTCCCCGGCGCACAATGAAGTGTGAGCTTTGGCCCCGCCGCATCCATGACTTGCTTCTCTTCTTTTTTTTTTTTGGTTTTTTTTTAATTCGATAAACTGCCCTCTAAAGGCGCCCAGAGACGATGTCGTGGAGGACGACGACAATGCTGTCGACCTTGGGCTAAGCCTGCGCCTAAAAGCAGGCAACGCTTTTGTGCTCGCGAGGCCTTCCAACGTCTAAGCCGCTTAATTACAATAAGTTGGGCCTGCGGGCGCTGCCTGCTATTTACTTAAGACGCGAAAATGTGATTAACAAGTGTGAAAAGCCGTTTGGCCCCTTAGCTACAACTTCAACTTGTGTCTTATTTTTATTTCGTTTAATTTTATTATTTTCCCTTTTCCGCACAGTTTTCGCGCAAGTTTCATTTTGCTTGAATAACTTTAATTGATTCAGTTGGTGTGTGTGTGCGTGTGTGTGTATGTGTGTATGTGTGTGTGCTGCGTGTATGCGAGCATTCAATTACTTAAAAATTGCTTGGCAAAGTGTTGGGGATTTGACTTAAAAATTAGCGCAAGTTTTTACCGAAACGCCCCTCGCCGCCCACCGTCGCTTTAAAAGCTGCGACAATGCAGGACAAAGTTGCTGCCACAAAGTTTTTGTGGCATGGCCTGCGCGCCACATGCATCATTATCAAGCCCAATGACAGGTGTGCGCATGCCAATTTGAACAGCTCTAATTGAATTTAGTAAACTATATATATATCTGTGTGCGGCTCACTGTCTGTTGCTTGTTGTCTGCACTCGACTCTCGACTGCCGACTGCCGACTCTCGACTGCCGCCTGTCGATTGCCGCCGACTGTCGACTGCTGGGTTTTTGGGGGCGCGCTGCCGAAAAACTTTCACGCTGTCATTGTAATACACACCTTATCCGAATGGCTGCCCGCCCCCCACCCCATTGGTTGTTCATTGTTTTCTTGCTAGTAGCTGGCAGCAGGAAGCTGGGCGCTAGACGGCTTGGGGCTGGGAGGGCTGGAGCTGCAGGCTGCGTGTCGTGCAAATCCCAGGCAAGTTGTTTCACCCCGCCCGCTGCTAACGCCGCCAAACAATTAACGTTAATGGATCATGGTAACTTTTTCGCCTTTTTCCACTGTGGAATCCCAGCGGTGCGTGTAAACTGGCAAAAGTAGCAAAAGCAACAAACTGCGGCACACACACACACACACAGAGCAGAGCGGTGCCGGAGGGGCCACAAGAAGCTCAGCAGTGCCATCTAAAGAACTGCTCCTGCTGCTCCTTGGCTCCATCATGGCATGTGAGAAGTGGCATCGCTGCTGCCGTTGGTGGGTCTCTTCGTTAGACTGGCAACCAGGATGTCTTTCGACACCGTCGCCAGTCTTTGGCAAGTTTTCTGCTGTCTTTTGCTGTTTTGCGTGCTCCCTCTACAAGTTTCTGCCACTTTTCACTTTTCTTTTCCATTTCTTTTTTTTCGTTCTTTTCTTTTCTTTTCTGTTTCCCTTACTTTTCGATTTGTGGAGCTAGCGAGCGAATGAGCGAGCAACGCGCTCAACTTTTAACACACTCAAGTGTCGTAATTTTGGCTGCTTTTTCGCACACAAAACAATATTAATGCTGGTAGTTTGCGGGGTCGGGTATGGGTGTGGCCATGGGGCTGGGTATTGGTTGCGTGCTGTGGGTGGCGCCGGGTTATAGCCGGCCTGGGGCCGACCACCCAATGGAAGTTAAATGAAAAGTTTTGCTTGCGCTGCAAACACGTCGCTTCCTGTCGTCTGCCGCTTTTGCTATGCGTCGCTGATTTTGCTGACTGACTTTTAGGCTTCGAGTCAAGTTGCCGTGCACACACTGGAGGCGAGTGCGTGTGTGTGTGTGTACACATGTTGGCAATAGGAGAATGTATGCCAACTATTGAGCATGTTTTCAACAGGCATCGCTGTCCAACCAAAACTCCCACTGCGCTGCGAAATTAAGCTGAATGGGGTAAAAGCGGAAGTTGCGTCGTCAGGCACGAAGAACCAGCACAGCCAAAAGGTGGGCCAGATGGAGTTGCCGGCAGCTAGCAACAAGCAGCAGGCAGCAGGCAACTAGCAGCAGGCAGCAAAAAACTTTTGGGGCGAAGCTTAAAAGTTATTAGCGTTTTGGGGGCAGCAGCTAAGCAGCGTTCCAGCTCGCTCTCACTTTCCCTCACTGCCACTCATTCCCTATCCCGCTCTACGTGCGCTCCCTCTCTCTCTCTCTCTCTCTCTCTCTCCCTCTCTCTCTCTCTCTCTCTCTCTCTCTAACGTGCTCGTCTGGCTGCTGGCTGAGGTGAGACCAAAAATGCCAACGCTGCCAAGCAAGGAATTCCTGGCAACTTGCTTGCTATTCATATTTGTGTGTTTGAGGCTTAGTACGTTATTAAGTTGTTACGTTTGGCCTGCTACAAGCAGCAACAACTACTACAACAACAGCAACAGCAGCAACTAGAGTCGCGTGGGCCGCGTTGCCTGCCGCTGCTCTCAAAGGTATTGCGTGATATTTCAATTTGTTTTTAGTTGTAAGTGGCTTAAAATGATTTAATAACTCATCAAGGGATTTGCTTGTTGTTAGGTATTTGCTTTAGCTTACCATACACCATTACCATGCCTCCTCCACCACCCCCCTTCCCCGTCGCCACCTTTCTTAAGCACACACCCATTCACCATTTCTCAAATTGCCGTACAGCGCTTAGGCTTAGGCTGTGTGTGTGTTTGTGTGTGTGTGTGTGGCTCACCTTAGCCACGTTTTTTGAGCATGTCAAACTTTTTAAGTAGTTTTGACGTTTCATATTAAAGAAGTTTTATATTAGTTTTTGCGCATTTTACCATCATTAATACAAATAACAAACCTAACTATGCATATTTACTATGTTGCCGAAACACACATAATATACACGCGCCTGTGTGTGTGTGTGTGTGTGTGCTGTCTGCATTGCACATACGCCACATATGCCACATACGCTCATAAGTATCGTATTTACCATCCATAATGAGCAATATGTGCGGCGCATAGTTTTGCGCGCTGTGTAAATATTTTAAAAACAGCTTTAGTCCTAAATATGCCCTAGGGATGCTGCCAGCGACTAAAACTATTTGTGTTTATAGCTGAATATACAAATGTATCTGCGCATATGTATTAATATCTATGCATGCACATACATTGTATGTTTAGTCAATTTAAAATGTGCACAAATTAAGCCAAATCAATTTCGGGCTAACAAATTGTACATTTCGTTGCGATTTGGTTTGTTTGTGGGCCACGTCACGCATTGCCCCCAGAGTGATATTTACCTTGTACCCAAAACACAGTGTGACCAGTCACGTAGCACAAATGTATCGAGTGGGTTGTAAATGGCCAGAAAACTACTGACCATCTGCCAGACCAACGCCAGCTAACCAACAGACCGACAAACTCTGCTACATACTGTGGCAGCTTGTGGTAAGTTGGTAAGTGTGACAGCACTGGGAGAGGGGAAAGTGGTGTGTGTGTGTGTGTGTGTGTGTGGGTGCAACATAAAATTTGACAACTTGTGAAATGCTCTGACAGCCACAGAGCGCACAAAACAAAGTTTTTTGGCTATTCTTTGTGTATTTCTATGCCAAAACTGTAATATGGCTAATTATACAGCATTGATAAGGGCCATTGTACTATGGATAATTACACTAGAAACTGCTGACAAATATTGATGAATGCTCTTTGAATTGATGGATTGATTTTACAAAATTTATATGCCATTTTCGTTTTGGCACAACTGTGATTTTATTTGTAAGATATAATTTAATTGTTACTTGTTTGTACATTGAAAGACATTCGCATCTTTAAAGTTTAAATATATAAAAAGGCGGCAAAATAGTCTGACAATTTTGTACACAAAACCAGCTGCAAGAAATTGCAGGGCAAGGAATAAAAAGTTCTAAGATTTTCAGAAAACGTACATATTTTAATTGCAGGCCTTTAAACACACGTGAATTAAGTTCTTTAGCTTGTGTGTGAAAACAGCTGTTAAATTGAATGATATTCTAATGCCACATAGATATGACATTTATATTCAAATTAAATTTGAAATCTATTTCACATTTGTAGCATTGTCCCAGATCTCATACTGTTGCTACCACTTTCAGGCTAATGGCTTTCTCTTTGGTGCCCATTGTGTTAAATGTTGCTTGGACTTTTGGGCGTGCATGTGTGTAATTGTGTGTGTGTGTGTTTGTGTGTTTGTCTGTGTGTGTGTGTATGTGAAGTGCAAGTTTCTGTCGTCGTCTTCATTGTTGCTGTCCTCTGTCGTCGTGACAAAAGTTTCTCTTCTATGTGCCTGCTGGCGGCATGTGTTCAAGAGTTAAGTTGTTTCGAGTGTGTGGGTCGTTTTGGGTGGCTTGCAATCCGCTATTCTCTTGGTATAAATGTGCTGACTGTTGGAATTTAAAGCTGCCACATGGTGGCAAGCTGCTTTCTGACTTTTTGCACAGAGCCCAGCAAGCTGATTACTTTGGCATTTGTTTTTGGGCCACGAACCGTCGGACAGTGTGGGGCCAGACTAAGCCTGAAAAAGCCATTCAAGTCGATTTGCCAAGAATGTGTGTTGCCAATACAGCTACTGTGTTTTATTTATTGCCTGGCTGCGATGTCATAAAAATCATAAAAAGCATCCATTATTGGGGAAACCCCCTGTAATAACAAGAGCAGCAGCAACAGCAACAGCAACAGCAGACATCATGGACACATTAGCCAGGAGTTCTTGGCAGTGACAGTGAGACAGTGACAATGACAACGCAAAGTGCCTTGTCATAACAACAGCAACAAGAACAGCAACAACAATGAAGTCATGGGGAAGAACAACAACAACTGCAATAATAATTAAGCGATATCAAATTGAAAAAAAAATTAACTTTTTCTCCCTCAACCTGTCATCTAGAGGCCGCCGGCTTGGGCGGGGGGAAATATACACTAACGATGATTTAGCGAAATGCGTTGTGCCGTATCATAGATTCTAGATAACTAAGCAATATGTTTATACATACATTCATGTGCCTAAGTAAATCGTTTCGCTAAGCGCGTTAAGCAAAGCTAATTAAATAAAAAAAAACTGCTGTCACGCATGGACGTAGTTTCTACAGGGGGTCCTGTCATCGACTGCATAATTGAGTAAGCCATGAACCTCGCTGACAGTTCCAATAAAATCGCCTTTAATTCTCCAATAAAACGCAGTTTACCCATAAAATATGTAGGTTGGAAGGTGATGGGAACTTTTTGCCATTGACATGCGAATGGAGTGTGCAGGATTTGGTTTGTTTTCTTGACTTTCATTCAGTTTGCTTTTGTTTTGTTTTTTGTTTTTATTTTGTCATCGTCTGGCATAAAATCATAAAAATAATGACATTATAATAGAGCGCACAAATGGGCACTTTATTTTTTTTTATGACTATTGACATTACATTTATTTATTGTATTAACAGCATAATTAATTACTCTACAGAAATGAGACACTTTGCTGCGTTCAGTTATAAAAACAATTACTCAGCATTATTTTGGTATTAAATAGTTTTTAAGGCACAGAAGCTTATGGATTTGGCTGTTAATAAAACTCGTTTAATATGGGTATGCTGGGCTGTAGCAGTTAGTTAATTATATAATTTAATAATTTACACTTCTGAAAATGTGCTAAAAATTAATTATTTTTTCGCGCGAATCCCGATGAAATGCACACTCCCGCCCAACCGTCTATGGATTTAACTATCTACTTGCTTAATAGTTTATAATAGATGAGTTCTTATATATATATTATGAGAGAAGACTCCGAGCAGAATGGTCTGTAATGCTTGTTGTCGTAATCACAGAGGACTCGGAACGGTTCATTTAAGGCATTGTTAATTGAACAAAGTTGAAGCGATAAAGGTGTATAATTACGTGTTCGTCTAGTAGGGACAGAGAAAGTTAGTTGGCTAGTCAGCCCAGAAGAGTCGATTTCATCGGTAATTAACTTATGAATAAACATTACACCAAGCATAGTTCTATTAATTAAGGAAGCAAGAAGTCTACTGGAATATAACGAGGATCCCGGTTTAAGTCACGAAGGGCAAACAACAAGAATGGTTTCTGTGCAGATTCAATTCAGTCTTATCGCTAGTTTATATTTGACGTGCGTCCTGTAGCATAACATTTAATTAACTTCATTCAAACTTTGGCTTCACTTTTCAATATTAATACATTTGCCTTGTTTATTTTGGCCTATTGACCTCCATTAGAACTTGCGAGACCACAACTATGCTGTATTGGGCCCTATCTATGCACGGGTGTCCATCGTCGAAGAGAGAGCTCTTCATAAATGTATAAACCAACTCAAGGCATATACCCTTATCAACTTGCGCCAGTGCACTTTTGTAACTTTGCTTATAAATTTCATTCGAGCCATTTGTTGACACACAGACTTCCTCAAACACACATAGCCGCACACACCGACACAGGCACAGACACAGACATAGATACAGACACAGACACAGTGACACTTACAGCCCCGCGAAAAGTTTGTGTTGATTGTGAGCGCTGCGCAGTTTCTTATTGCTATCGGTTATCGCATTGGTAAGAGTACGAAATCGCATTTGTGCTCTTGACTTGAATGTGCAAATAGAATTAAAACGCAAATTTAGTAACTCAGTGCCGACTGACTGACGGGGGTTTTTTTCTTCAATTCTTGCTAATAGAAGGGGGGGAACTTGGCAATGTTGGCCGTCATAACTTTGCTTGATGACAAATATATTCATTTCATGCTTGTTCAAACCAACAAATCGCGTGACGCGCTGACAGCGCAACTTGTTATTATTGTTGTTGCTGTTTCTGTTGTTGTTGCTGTTGCCTCTTGCTACCGGCAACAACAATGACAGCCAGACGAGTGGTAAGTGTAAAATTCAACTATTGTCTTCATTTTTCTTGCAAATCATGCAACGCAATCTAAACCGTTGACACATCGGCACACATTGCCGCCATGTAGCAGCTGCTGCCACTTGACACTGTCACTCAAGTTCAAGGTTCAGGCACGGCTAAGGTTATATGTAGGTGTTGCTCGTAACAAGTCTGTGCTTTGTCTCGCTGCGCGGCATTCTGTAAAAAATTACAATAATTGTTATTTACGCATATTTGAACACGAAATGTGTCAATTGGCAAACAACGAGACAACATCATGCTGTCAGCAGGCCACGCCGCGTATGCGTAATATGTAATAAGCTCGCCCGGTGTGCTCATATGTGCATGCGGCATATGACAGACCTTGTCATGCTTTAATAACTTGATTTCAACTGATTTGAAGATCTTGGAATTTTGAGTATTTAAGCATATAACATTAAATACGTAATCTTATCAATCCGAATAACTCTGAAATTGAACACATATCACCTGGTCTGGCAGATTTGGTCTTAGATTTATTAAACTTTTCATGAAAAATACGTTCAAGTATTGTATTAAAAAAAAGGTTAAATAGCTGGCGTTGCAATCTTTTTTGTTTGATACAGAATTTGAACAAAATTTTACCGGCATTTATTTATGTTGAGCACAAATTTTGTTATATTTTCAAAGACATATTTGAAATACCAAGTTTTTTTGCCTTTGTTTTCTATATTTAGTAAGGGCATCAAGAGTTCGTGCTGTTGCCGAAAACTGAATTTGTTTTTGGCCACGTTGAATGCCTCAGCCCCCTCCAAAGTGTTCGTTAGCACACAATTTGTGTGTTCTGTGCTCCAACACTGATGTGTTTCATTAAAACAATTTGCGTTGAATAAAATTAGCTGAATTTAAAAGAGATGTCGCATCATTGGCCAACGAATTTTTCCATATAAATAGCAAATAGATTTTCGCTCTTTGAGCGACAGTTGCGCGTTGAACATTGAAGCCGAGAAATCGCTGCGGCCAGCAATTGAAACAAATTGAAATATCATATTTTCAACGTTTATATTTAAATATGCACACTATGTACACGCCGCTGGCGTCGCAGTCGCTACTGATGCTGCCTCTGCTGCTGTTGATGTTGTCGCTGGGCACGCACTTGACTGAGGCAGCGGCGGCGGCGTCGGCGGCTGTCATCGGTGTCGGCGTCGACGCAGCTGTTGACAAGGAAGTGGCGCCAGTTGGCGTTGTAAAAACGGATTTGCTGTCATTGGAGCAGGAAATTGCCGGCAATCCGGCGTCGGAGCAGCGAGCAGCTCGTCATGCGCGCTCATTCCTATTCGGCGTGGCCGGAGCCGGCCCGGCCTGGATTGGTGGCGCACCACCAGTTGGCTACGGCTACGGCTGGGGCTATCCTGGCTACTACAGCTCGCCATACTACAGCTACGGTGGCTATGGCGACTACGGTGGCTACGCTGGCTACTATCCGAGCGTCTTTGGCTTTAAGAAAATTATCATCGGCTAAGGCAGCGCTCAAAGTGGTCCAAGTTAACAAGTTAACCATCCCCCATCCTGCCACCACGAGTTCAATGTGAGATTATAAATAATGTGCAATGTACTGACCCTTGCTTGTTGTTGTTGTTATTATAAGACAGTTTTAAATTAATTTGCCGGACATAAAAAGTTGAGAAAAACTGTGGCAAAAAAGCAACAAAAAAAAAATATCAAGAAATTGCACAATTTATATTCATTTTTGTTGTTGTTGGCGGTTCGCTTTGGTTAGGGCACAGATTTTGCATAAATCATTTCACAGCCACCGAAATGAAATGCGTAACATAATTTTTAACCCTTGATAAATTTTTATGACAAGCATTTTCGTTATTTTTCCTGGCGCTCTTGTTGCTGTTGCTGTTGCTGTTGTTCGTGTTCGTGTTCGTGTTGCTGCTGCTTTCTGTTTGTGTTTGCGCCACAGTGAAATGCAAATAAAGCGGATCAAAAGTTTGCTGTTAAAAGAAGATTAATTGCAATTTGGTGGCAGGCTCACGACCCCCACCCTCCCCCAACCCAGCCTACGCAATTTGCCATGCCACCATTCGCTGCGGCGGTCAGAGTTGGTAATTAAATATTTTTAAGCTGTTAATGGTTTCCATTTGCGAGTTGTTGTTTTAAGTAGTTGTTTGAGCTATTTATTAAATATATATATATATATATATATAAATAGATGTTTTTTTTGGTTTTTTGCAATTTTGCAATCGATTGCAGGCCACAAGAACCAGCCGAAAAGTTGTCGAGTATTCGAAATGGTTTTCATTTCAATTGGACTCTCAAATTGGTTCATTGTCGATTTTGTTTCTATTATTTTCGAGTGGTTTTTTTTTTACATTTGTATGGTCATTTTGTGCCTAAATTATTACATTTTTCGTTTCGTACTCGATTTAATTATGAAAATAGCTTTAGAATGGTACAGAAAATGTAAATATTTATGGCAATTAATTCGATTGCACACGGCTTTTAAGCAAGGATTTTATTTGTTATGAATTTCTATTTAATTTTAACAGTTTTTATTCCCTGGCAGAGGGTATTATAATTTTGATCATGAAATGTGTAACGTATAGAAGGAGAGATCTCCCACCCCATAAAGTATATACATTCGAAGCCATCTTCTGTTGCAGACAGTATATATGTCGGAACCGGCCGGATCGAAATTATTATTATATTGCTGCACGATCGGACCAAAAGTATGTTCTTGTATGAAAAACTATTTTGCTTATCAAGATATCTTAACCAAACCATGCATTTATAAGTTTCACTATGCTCTGCTATTGATCGATCGGTCGAAGTGTTGGCTCTAATCTGGGAATCATTTTTTTTTAAGATAACTCGACTAAACTTTGGATTTATTAGTTCCACTATGATTTTCATATATGTATATGCCAACTCTTATCAACATCGGTCCACTATATAATATAGCTGCTATAGGAAAGATCGGTGGAATAGCCGGATCTTACAAGGCGAAATATTCTGTTTTTAAAGGTATTCCAAAAAACGCATTTTCGAGCTGCACTGTTCTTATATATCTGCTTAAACGAAATGCCTTCATGGGTATTAAATCTTCGGCATGCCGAAGGTATCCTTACTTTCTCGTTATTTGGTACTTTTCCTTGGATTGTGCATTTCACTCTTCAACCTGTCAAGCCACAAACATACACGTACAATTAATGGCGATTATCAGTCAAGTTTTCATAAAATTAAAAATAATAAAACTTTTAAAACGTACACCCCTAATTAATAGTTTTCCAGCCCTCCACTTTTAATTACAGACAACAAACATTTTAAGTGCTTTAATTATTATTTTAAGTTTCCCTTCTCCGCATATTCGGAAATATCGTAATTGCTAGCGGTGAGATAAGTTCAACGCGGACCCGTCAGTTGGCCCGTTGTTTTCCGGTTGGGCGGATTGGCCTTACATATACTTACCTCGGCGAGTGAATGCCGGCAATGTCACTCTTGTTGTTCATAATTGAAATGAGGTCAACACCGGCGAACCTCATTAAAAATTGATTTTTTTTAATTTTCATTTGATTTAATTAAGTTATTTGTTGGTCAATTAACCTTTTTTTTTGCGGTCTGATATTTCATTGTAGCAGTCTACAAACATTTTTTATTCCCTTCAATGTTGTTTGTGGACTTGCGTTTTATTTGCTTGTTCTGAATTATATATTGTTATTGTACTTACATATTACTGTTAATATTTTTGTTTTTATCATTGTTATTCCTGTATGTGGATAAAAACAATTTAATGACGACTGGCAATTAAGCGGGGGCCGTGTGTTGACATTTCATTAATTAAAAATAGTTTTCAATTATACTCAATGCGCTCAACATGCATGTAATTCTATTATGTAACGTCGATTAAAGAGTTGCACAAATATGCCCAGCCACAACAACAATTAGTCCCCATCCAGTCATCAGTTCAAGTGCCGTGCCATCCATCCATCCACCTACTCTAATCTCATCTACTTCAAAAAGTCGTTGAACATTTTTTATGCGAGTGCTTTATCATGGGGCGCGTCCCCTAATGCACTCAGAATTTATTGCGAAATCCGATCAACAAGGCTAGAAGGAGAAAGAGGTTAGGCAGGTTTCCCACTCACAAAGTATGTTCCACAGTTTAGCCCAAAGCGGAGATTACAGTGCGATTGGAGGTAATGTCTGGAAGAACAAACCAGGCTCGGCCAAACATCATCTAAGCTAACTGTGTTGTCATAAAAATGTTTTTTGTTTTTAAAAAACAACGAGAAAAAGTGCGAGTATTTTTTTTCAACTTATAAATCCTACATAATATGTTTTAACTTACCCTTTTCTTTAGCTTAAGCTTAATAATATGTTTTAACTTACCCTTTTCCTTATCTTAAGCTTAAGTCATGCTCACAAAGACGAAGCTTGTTAGCAGATGTATAATACTATCATTATTCGATTGCTTATAACCAAGTCTACATTGTTTTGACACATAGTGTTTTTAGATTTACATATTATAAAATTAATAAAATATATTATATATTTATTATCGGTCTTAAACTCTTTGTCAAAGATCTTTTAGAGAATTTATTTGATACATTTTTTCGCAAGCTCACGAATGCACAGTCAAAGGTTTATTAAGCGAAAGTTTATTTTCCGGCTTCCAGATTTTTACCTTATTCGATGCACATAAACATGTTTTTTAATAGAAGATTCCACGGTCGGGGAATTTTAATATCTGAAATTCTTAGCAGCAAACTTTTCACGAGCAAGGCTGGGCAATACCCGTTAGTCAAATATAAAGCTACCGTAGAAAGTATGAAAACAAATGTTGTCTTTTAAGCTATCCTAATCAAACTACGCATTAAAAAGCTTTCGGATACCCCAAACACATGTTCTAAATTGTATCAATAACAAACTACAGCTACCATGGCTACTTGTATCAAAAACTCAGCAATTACAAGCTTACAAACATTATCGTATAATCTGACGACTGTATTTAGCGCACTTGCATTAATTAACGGACTAAAAGCACTTACTTAAATAACATTTAGAATGGAGAGTGGAAATTGTGGACATGTTGCGAACGTGGGAGATAATTTATTCCACCACTGTTGATACATTTTTGGTGCCAACGCTTTTGATTCCGTTATGTGTATAGACTGCTAGCTGCAGCTGCACCAGAGAGTAAGCGTATTGTGGATGGCGTGAGCGGGAGATAATTTAAATGCTCACACGTTCATGCGATTGGGCGTAACGCTTTTGATCCCGTTAGCCCAATCTAGCTGAATGCGCTTTCGCAAAGAAGCGAGCATGCATTGATGTGGGCGTGAGCTTCGGCGCCTCAATAGTTGTGGGCTCTTAGCTGCTATTGTACATATTAATGCAAACGCCGGCTTATTAAATGCGCGAGCTTATTTAGTGTGTACGCGTGTGTCCTGTTGATCGGTCGTATCCTCTGCGCGTGTGTATAAGACCCTTTTTTTTACTCCTAACAAACTTGAATCAACAAATTGCTACTTAACGCAATGAGTTCGCGGTATGTGTGTGTTAAAAAGTGCAATAAGTCTTTTAGCAGTTCGCCTTAAAAGTATATTAAATAATCAAACAACTACGCGTCGCTTGGATTTTGGTCTGAGCTTTTTTACTTAAAAGAAATTGGCGCGCAAATCGAGAGAAAGAGAGAGAGAGCGAGACAAAAAGAGAGTGTTGTGAAGCTCTTGCCCAACAGGTAAACATGCTTTTGGAAACATTTCTATTTTTTATAGACAAATTTAATTAACTTGAATACAGTTTAGTGTATATTTTATTTTCAACACTGACAGAGTATTTTAACTATGTTATGATGTTTGTAACGCATATAAGAAATCAGTTCTGAACCCAATATTTGTGTATTTGGCTACGACTGGATTCTCGAAAAATGAGTATTATATGCAAAACTGCATCTGTCAATGGGTCGTATAAACCTTAAAGGAACAGTTGGTGGAAAATAGAGTTTTAAATAACTTCCCAACTATTTATGGCCTGACAGAGGCTGCAGACCTCTTTCTTTATTCTTGTTTCATTTAAAAAGAACCCTAGAAATGCTTATAGACATACTACCTACATACTGTACATACACGAGCACATATATATATTTTGGCCAAATGTTGTCCTTGCCGCAGAGGCCAACTGAAATGAAGTGTCATTGTGATAGAGCCGCGGCAATGCAGCTGTGCAGCAATGCACTGCAGCAGCAGCAGTCGAGTCACAGGACTCCGCAGTATTCCGAACAGGACCCAAGCGACACATTTGCACGCACTGCTGGCCATTGCGACTGCGGCAGTCAGCGCTGCTCACGTACTCAGCATTGTGACAAATGGATTTTCGCCCGAAATCCCCAGGATTTCTTCAAGTGTAATTGCGCACGCTAAAAGCGAATACGAATTGCGAATTGCGAATACCGACCGGTTGCGGCTGCCTGCAACTGGCCGTATCCCCAAAAACCAAAAGTATTCGAGAAGAGCATTAAATTTCATGTGCTTGCGGTTCGCTAGCGTTTATTGCACTCACTAGATAATTTGTAGCTCTAACGCAGTCGCAGCTTGGTTAACCAGGTGCGTGCGCTCGCCCAACTCCGCAGCAATAGACTCAGCCGACCAAGAAAATCGCTCTGTAGGCGCACCAGCTTCATCGCTATCAATACGAACACCAGCAGGTAGCGCAGCTCTGTGAAGATTATCGGCAGCACCAGTTCCAAGAGTTCTACCCGGGGCGCCTCAATGCGCAATTGATGACAAATGTTTCGTATCTTTCGTCTGGTGTATATCAGCAGCTCCACCAAAAGTCTCAGAGCGAGGCATATCAACTTAAGAAGGGAAACCACATTCAGGAGATAAACGTGTGCCATGTACAAGGTAATGCGCACGGGGAAGGTCAGCAGTACCCAAAAGCAGACGGAATCAAACGCCATGTGTGAGTTGTTCAAAGTGAAAGCTTTCTTAAGACAAATAAACTAGAAGTTGACGCTAAAATCGTATCTGGCAACTTTGCTATTCGAATCGACTTGCCAACTTTGACAAATTTTTCTAGTTTACTGTGATTTGGCAAGGTGTCGCCTGGGGTTTCCTTGGCTCTGCCTTTTATTTTTTTTTGTCACTCTATGTAGAACGTGTACGTATTGAATGTTCGTAAAATAAAAAGTTTATATTACCAACATTACAGAGTGACATTAGGAGTGCCACCCCAACAAAATCACGCCCATGATATTTGCACTGAATTGAAATTGATCAATTTGCGTAGTTGAGGGAATTGTTTGCTGCTTTTCGGTGGCACATTTAATGGATGATTTGCTTAGAATGTTTGTGGGGAGTTCGGTAATGAAATGAAATTAATGTGGGCCTCTGGGAATGAATGAGGGAAAGTATAAAAATTAATAAAAAAAAGAACGAAATTATCTGGAAATATGAAATTGTGCAAATGCATCTACATTTCAATCGAACTAAAAACTGTCGACAATTTATGCTATCAATCAAATCATTAAAAAACGAACATTCATAAATGTTTTCAAATATATTTGTAAGCTCGCATTTGTGTAAAAATATAAAATTAATACGCTTGGGCATTTAAGCTTTTTTTTGATATGTAAAATAAAGCTTAATATAGCAAAGCATATTTATTGTGATTAAGTAATATTAATTAATTTAAAAGTATTACTTTCAGAAATTATTTGAGCTATAATAAATTCCAGCAATTTCGTTAACATTTTTTTAATGTGGCTAATTATACCTAAAAGTAAACTGCAGGCCGCGTGCTCTTTTATCTTTAATAAGCTTGTACATTTGTTGAAAGGGAAGAAGCTAAAGCCGCTTACATTCTATTGAATTGGCATCGGCATTGTTTTCATAATCATCAGATTATAATTAGAGAGAACTATAATTATTTTCGTAAACACAAAATAGTGATATCAATGCTACTATTATTGGAAAATTTGTATTATTTCTGCTTAGAGTAGACGTTTTGTAGGTAAAATGATATCAGACTGTTTGTGCATGTCGGATTAAATGCTGTGCACCTGTTCCCACACAATGAATGTGCCCCAGGGCAGCTAAGCTGTAAGGAAGCCGTTCATCGCTTTATATCAGGCATTCCTTGTTGTTCTGCCAGCCGTACAAATCTTTGATTGCAGTGCTGATATTTAGTCCTGTGTTGTAAATCCCTTCATTTCTCTACTGGCCCACACCCTTCCTTGCACCACTTGCACAATGCTCGAATTGCTCTGGCAAATGTTAAAATAAAAGAAATGCAATAAAATCTGTCCAATCCAAACAGACGAAAGAATTAGGCTGTGTGTAGGTGGTTGGGTGGGTCGGTCCAGCTGGGCTTGGGTGGGGTAATAACGCAAATCTGCAAGCAAACGGAAATAAAGAGAGCAAAGCGTAATGACAAAACTCTGGATTAAGAATGCGGCGCATACAAGTTGCACATTCGCCTTTTGTCTCTGAGATCTTGGGTAGCTGACACTTTGTGCAGTGTATCTTTTGCAGTACACATTGGTACACATCTAAATATATATATATATATATAATATATATATAATGTGTATATGTGTGTGTATATAGACGTATATTTTAAGCATGGCTTATCTTATCAAGCGGCATAAAAGACGCCTTTCAGCGAGCATCCAGCGTCCAGCAGCCAGCATCCAGTGTCCAGCGACAATTGTACTGAGTGGGTTTGGTTTAGTTTGGTTTGTTTTGGCTGTGGCTGTGGCCGTCTTCAGCCCCGCGGGGCAATGGCAATGCACACAGCTGGACATTCATTACAAAAACGGAAGCACTCGTACAGTGACAGAAGATAAATGGACCTGCACTTGTACGTGTGGCTCTCTCTCGCTCACTCGCTCTTTTTCTCTGTCTCATTCTCTATCCAATTCTCAATGTGTCTGTGTGCGGTTTTTATTTAGTCGCTTGCCTTATCTCAACATCTAAAAAATCTTTGATGCTGCAAAATGAAAACAGCTTATATTTGGAATGTATGTATATATGTATGTATGTACACGTACATACCTACATATTTCTACACTTTTCATTTACGTATTTATTTGTATTTGCTTGTTTTTTTTCTGGTTCAGTCAGTTTTTAGTATAGATTTTTTTAAATCTGCGCAGCTCTTTTTCTTGTCTTTGTTTAATCAACATCAACAAAAAGAGAAAAAACAAAAGAAAACAACAAAAGCAACAACAAACGGGAAATAGGAAACAACGCTTCATATTCATTTGGTTTTTTATTTGTCTATTTGTCGCTGTCATATTTGCATGCAGCTCGCCCTGTTATCCTTTTTGCTCTATTGTCGTTTTGTGATTGAGATATGTATTTATTATGTACATTTTTTATTTTTGTATATTTACTGCTGTTGTTATCAACCTTTAAAAGCTGACGACGCTGTACTTTTGCACTGCCATTGCCTTTTGTCCCAATTTCAATTTCAAACTTTAACCATTTGTTTTTGGCGCACAAATTTATCAGCTATTTGAACGCTATCTAGTTTTTGTTTCTTCCTTTTTCTTTTTTTTGTTTGTGTGTTTTTTTTTTTTTTTTTTGTAGTTTGTTTGGCTCGTTTGGAACGTTACATTCATCAAAATATTTTATACCAGCGCCCTTCTAACTTGGCGGTTTTTTATAAGCGCACTTTATGTCAAAACCACAGCGGCAATAACACAGACACACGCAAAAAATGCGCTGCACTAAAATGGAATGCGAAAAATGTAGCTCGCCCAGCGCGTGAGCTCACTGCAAAAGACAAAAGCTTAACCCAAACCAAGTAGCCAAACATCAACAATCTAAAAACCGAAAAAACTAAAAAAAAAAATTGAAAAAATTTGAAAACAAACTGTCAAGCAAGTGAAATAAATTAACAAAATGGCACCATAAAGCTAACATATGAGCGAGTCCTTGATTTTGTCGAGCAGCTCTCTTCTCATTCCGACGCAAAAATCTATATAAATTTTCTAGACGCTCTTGACGCTGACTTCAGTTCGCGTGGTGCTTTTGTTTTGAAATAACTTTTCAATTATTTAGAAATAAGTGCACATGACAGCACAAAAACAAAGCAAAGTAAGCGCAAAATATTTTTTAAATGGGCCTGCATTGCGACTGTGATAATACCCTGTAGCTTAATAGGCCTGCACATGTAGTTATTGTGCTAGCAGAGAAAGAATAACAACTTGTCGATTGACTTTGTGCTGCCCAAGGACTGCAGTTGCAAAACTCTAACACAAGAGTGTGTTCAGCTTACCAATAACCCAAGAACCCGCTAGGTTTATGTCTACAGGGTAGGTAAAGTTTAACAAGTTAGTAGTTACTTTTTGTTTTAGTTTGGCAAGGCACAAAGCAGAAGTAACTTTTTGTGCAGAACATATGAGTCGCAACTGGCAGCGTGTCAGGCAACTCTGCAGCGACAACAACAAACGATTTCAATTCCGTTGATTGCAACGCTGCGGATGGGCCGCCAGACGTGTAAATGGTAACTATGCCCTGATCCGGCATTTAGCATGTGCCAGGGAGTAAAGTATGTCGAAATGTTGCCCAAAACCCGTTTTTAAAACATTGTTTTTGGCGCCGCTTTTTGTTTCGTTTTGGTTTTTATTCTACTCTTAAACGCATTGCCACAGCAGCGCAAGCCGCAGGACGAATGTTAACGGGCAGCCGACGCAGCGGGGCAGTTGGCGTGGAGTTCGGCCAATGGGCCCAAACCAACAAGAGCCAATGCCAAACAGATAAGAGCGCATATTTTATTTGCATACTTTTAGGCTGACTTTGGCGGGCGCAGCGTTTGGAAAGCCATTTGCCAGCAGAAATGCCATGAGTATGTGTCTACAAAAAAGTCAAACAAAATAAAAAGGAATCCTATGAAAAGCACACACACTCGAACACACAGTCCCATATTGCAGGCCGCTTAACAATCGAAAATCAAAACAAAGGCTAGAGCAAAGCGGAAATATGTGAAATGCGAACTTTTACAAAGATTGACAAGTGGCGACTGGCCCGTTTAAAATGTCAAATACGTACAATGTTGCCGCGACTTTTCATGCAAACAGCGGCGTCGAGGAGCGAGAAGGAGATTGTGTGTGTACTGGCGACAGGGGGGAGGGGGCGGTGCTACGTGCTGTTGGTTTTTTGGCGAAAAAAAAAAAAACAAAAAAGAAAAACCAAAAAAAATGTGTTGTTTTTTATTTTCTTCTGTTGATGTTTTGATTTGTGCGTGCGTGCAAATGTTTGCACTCAGAGCATTTGTTTTTGCTCGCTGTGGTATTTTTTTCGTCACAGTCATCTAGCCATTGCGTCAGACCCGCCATAGCTCCATTGGTTATATATATTTATATATATATAGGATGTATGTACAAATATATATATATAGTAATATGCATACACATTTTTTTTGTGCTGTCAAATTTTCTTGTGCGCCAGGCGCTATTTTATTTGTTTATTTTGTGTTTTTTTTTATTTTTTTTTTTGGGATGTTTTTTTTGTTTTAGTTATTTCCGTCTGCCGGCAAGCTGTGCTCATCAAAATGGAAACTGTGCAGCATGCACTAAGTGTGACTGATAGTGTGGTGAGTTAGTTGATTCTTTTTTCGTGGCCCGCAGCCGCAGTCACAGTTGCTGGCAGCATTGGCGTCGGAGTGGGGGCTCGGCTGCCCCTCGGCCAACTGACAGTTGCAAATCATCAGAAATTTAAATTGACTTAAATTGTTTATTTTTTGGCACGGACCAAACGTCATTGTTTTTGCAGATGCACTGATTTTGGCAGACGGAAGTGCCATGGACATGACCACAGCGATTCTCTGCTGTGTTATTTATGAAAATAATAGAAATGCAAATTAATTTGTTGGCTTTTGTTGTGCCGGATTTTGTTGTTGCCAATAACAAACAAAAAATAAATAAAAGAAGGGAGAGTGGCCATTGATAAAACCAGCAATTAGTTTGTGCCATAACCGTGCATGTCGTTTAATTGTACATTTAAAGCTAGTCCATATATGGACGCACGACATACCGTAATTTAAACTGCCAATTAGCTGTCCCAAATTGTATGCTATACATTTGTCCATAATACAGAGAACTTCATTTGTCTGCCTTGCCGATGTCTCCATCAATGGCTTAGGTCCGGAGGGTCTGCACGCTCGATTGCCTGCTTTCTCGCATGCGAATAGCATTTACTTTGCTCTGTCTGTATTGGCATGTCCTTTGCTGCTGCTTTTTATTGTACGGACAGTCAGACAGATAGACATCAGGCTCTGTACTTGCTGCTTGCCTTATTTTGCTACGTTTACTCTTACAGCCTTGCCGAGGGTGTTATAATTTTATTATAAAACACGTAACGCGTCGAAGAAAGCTTTTGCGACTGCATGAAGAAGTGTATGTATGTATGTCCATGAAAAACCGTCTATAATTGTGGTGCAAAGTTTTAGTTACACAAAAATAAAATGAAACATTTATTTTAAAGATTGCTGTAAAAAATCAAAATACCTTGCACCTAAGATCAGATTACGCGGTGTAAGGGTATTGAATCCTCGCCCCACCCCAATTGCAACCGTTCTTGCTTCTATTTTTTGGTTTATTTTGCTTTGATTTCAGGCGAATAATAAAATATACAATTGTACTAGAAATATGTCAGTGAAATTCACAAAATTCACGTTTTCCTATATCCTGCTGTGGTCTACAGACCGATTTTCTGTCTGTCTCTCCGTCTACTTATACGACTGTATGTGTGATTTTTATTTTTGTGGCTTTTACGCGCACGCTTTTTGTTTTCATGTATAAATCATTTATTGTTTTTATGTATGACGTTTCGAGCTGCCTCTCTGGCTGGCTGGCTGGCTTGCTGGCTGGCTGGCTTGCTGGCTGGCTTGCTGGCTGGCAGATATGAGTGCCTGCGTCTGACATTAATTGGCAGTGATTGAGGGATTTTTGTGCGCTATGTATGTATATGTGAGCGACGGATACGTGCTCCTTTATGAAATATTAATTGGGCTTTCATACCGCTGTGCTGACTGCCGGCGATGCCAGACGTGCCTCATAATCTGCTCAATGTCAGCGGAAGAGAGATTCAACTAGCTTCGCAGTCATCATTAAAGCCACGGCCGTTTTTTTGCATGATGCAAGCCGTCTAACAATCAGGCCAATTGTCAACGGATCCAACTACCACATGGACAGAATTGACAGGAACAAATTTCGTCTGTTTAATATTTCTTTTTATTATTATCTTAATAAATATGCCATAAATTGAAGCCATGATGCTGCGCTGTGGATGACGACATATATTTCACCAAAATATCAAATGAATGTTAATTCTACGATCGCAACAAATTAACAAAATGCCATTAAGCGTTCAAATCGGTTTAGTTTTGACAAAATTATGAGGGCTTGAAATCTAGAAATGGACCTCGAAACATTACATATCAAAGTTTTATTATTTTTGGAAATATCTTCTTGAATTCCTAAGCTTTCTTCAAATGGTTTCTTACATATTATCAGTAATTTAGTTAATGATCTAGGTGGGTTCTTGATCATAGGCTTAAATTCGACTCTCATGTTACGACCGTGTTCAACAGAATTGAAACAATTCTTGTTGTTTGCCCTTCGTGGATGAAACTGGGATTCACGTGTGCGGTTACCGTCATACTCCCGTAGACGCCAGATGATTTATCTTACTTCTTTAATTAATCGTAGAGCTATACTTGGTGTAATATTTATTCATAAGGTAATTACGGGGGAAATCGACTCTTCTCGATTGACTAGCCAACTAAATTTCTCTGTTCTTACTTGACTAACATGTAATTATTATTTTTGTTCAAATACCTATGCCTGGGATGAACGGTTCCGAGTCCTCTGTGATAATTACAACAGTATTCTGGTCGGAGTATTTTACCAACCTATTTTTTCATAGCTGTTCAAATATTGCGTGCAGAATTATTTACGATATATGCGAATATATTAAGTATTTGGATAAAGTTGTGAGAGCTTGATTTCTAGAAATGGCATTTTTTAGAGTGTTTGTCACTGTATTTAATATTGAATGAATAAAATTCTACAAAAATATATATAAAGTTTTTTAAATGCGCAAATTTCAGATGTAGAATCAAGAAAGTATTCGAATCTTCACTAAAAAGGGCGTCTAAATTATTTTTACTATATGTATATTTAAAAAAAAAAATATTTAAAAACCTTTTTTAATTTTCATTAAAATATACAACTGCTTAAACGTTAGATGTAGATTCAAAAAAGAAGTCGAATCATTATTAAAATGGCGTAAAATATAGAAATACGTTTCTAATTTATTTACATTATATATTTTCTTAAAAAATTTTTCTTTTTTAAATTGCTTAAATATTTCACACAGAATTATTTAACAGAATAAACTGCGAAGAAAATACGCTCAAGCGTAATAATTATCCGAGTTTTAAAAAAGTTGTGAGAGTTTGATTTGTACACATTTCGACATTTATTAAAGATTTTGGGACTTTGTATTCGAAATTGTAAGAATAAAATTCTACAAAAATATGTATTTCTTCAAGTACGTTTGTTTCGGTTGTGGAAACAGCAAATTAGTCGAATCGTCATCAAATGGTATCACCAAACATACAAATATAAATTTATATATTACATAATTCTTCAAAATATCTTAAATATTGTATGCAGAGTTATTTAAAAGAATAAACTGTAAAGAAATTGCTTACAAGAATGATGTTGTTTTGAAAAAGTGGTGACAGTTTTCTTGCTAGAAAGGAAATTTGCTACAGATTTGGGGAATTTGCATTTGAATATACTTTATATTTATTTATAATCATAAAATACAAATCGTTTCATGTAGCTTTCAATTTAAAAATATACATATATGTATGGTAAACGTAGTGCAAGAAGCACTCGTACTTCGTAGCTCTGCAATATCCAATTTTGTAAAATACAATTCAAGACGCGCGCAGCATGCGACAAAGTCAACGCCTTAACCTTGAAGCGGTCGTCGTGATTTGAAATAGCGCAGCCTGTTGGCTCCGGTGCTGGCTTTGCCCCAGTTGCTGGTGGTGCGCGTTGCGTGTGGTGTTGCCAAAGGGATTTGCGTTTAATTAAAAAAATATATAAATGTGTGTGTGTGTTGTTGTTGTTGTTGGCGTGGCTGGCATGCAATAGAATTGTTGCTTGGTTATTGCTTTTGTACTCAGTTGCTGTAACTGCTGTTGCTGTTGTTGTTGTCGTTGTCGTTGTCGTTGTTGGGTTGTGTTGTTGCGGCTGTAGTGCGTATGCATGCTGCCACTGGTTTTGGAGAGTCCGCGGCAGCGGGCACAAAGACGAAATTTGCCTAGTGCTGGCAGCGGTAAGGCTTTTATGCTGAATTGAATCTTATATTAAGATGTTGCAAGGCGGCGTCGCCTGCGACCGCAGCGGCGGCATTGTTGTGTACCAAAATAATAACAGCAATTCTAACAAAGGCACACACAATAACCACGGCAACAGCTGCAGCGCGAACACCACTCGACCAGCAGCAATCAGGCATTCTGCACTGTGCTCGTATTATTATTGTTGTGGCTGTTGTTCTTATTGTTGTTGTTGTTGCTGTTGCCTTGGTTGTTCTCGGTGTTTGAAGCGGAAACTCAAAGCGCGTAAACCGGAAACTGCTGTTTAATGGCGCTGCTGCGCATGCAATGCGAATAGGGCTCAGTCGTCATCCAGCAGCCAGCCTGCCAGCCAGCCAGCCAAACAGTTAGCAAACGGGAAATGAAATTTAATTTATAGAAAACAGCAATCTGCAATGTGCTAAAAATGTAATTACAATTTCCATTTTCATTCGCTCAACCTTTTGCTAGCCTCCACAATAGCCATGTTATAATTATTTAACTACTGCAGTGCGAGCGCACAATGAGCTCGTTTCCAATTAAAGTGATAGATTTACCTAAGCAGGCGGGTTTTTGATATGATTAAATTTTGTTTTAATGCCGGTTGAAGGCCATTTTTCAGGCGTCTGTAAGTAGGCCTCGCTTTTTGTTTACCAGATAAGCAAATGCCCAAAAGGCTTACCGGCGAAAAGCTCTGGCAAACGTTATCTATTGCTGACAAACATGGCAACATAGTTGCTGCTGCCACGCCCATCGGCCAGCCTGAGCTGGCCTTGTCAATTGACGGCGGGCT